TTTTATTATTCTTTTCTCATTTCTTTTCCCATCTTAGTATCTGAAATTTCTGGAACAACTTAATGATATGATGAAGCTGGACAACATAGCAGTGGAGGTTGGATTTGATATGAATGTGGATGCAATTCTAGCTCGAACAGAGCAGTTAGTGAAACTGGAAGGGGATGCAGTGATTGAAAATAAGACTATGGCATATAGCCTAAGAAGAAAGGTAGGCAGAAAAAGATGTATTCTTACTGTTTGTTGCAAAGATAACCTTGTTATGGTTGTATTTCTGATAGCCTGCTAGAGGCACAAGCCTGAGGCTTCGTTACGTAAAGAGAAGGTAGTAAGCAGTTTGGCAAATTGTGCAAGTAACTGCAGTTAAGACAAGGCTGCCAGTCAGGTGATGCATGATACTGCTTCTCATAACTTCTTTTAAAAAATAGTTATAGAATGCATATTTATACATCTCTATTTTTCAGTATAAATGTATAATATATTTTTAGAATGGTTATTGACTTTAAATCTAGAAGGATCTACAGGGAAGGATGGCATCTTGCATCAGCTTCTCTACGATCCAGTATAACATAGGTTGCACTTTGCTAAGTACTTCAATGTTTCTAACAAGAACTTTGCCCCTTTAGGTATCTTCATAATGTGCCCAGGTTGGGTTTAAAGGCACACTGTAGACTTTCTGAAAGTAGCTACCTCTTTAGCAGGGAGGGTGCGTGCAAATATCCTTCAGATGTTCCAGAGTAAAGCCTGGCAGTTCAGCTCAGACAGACAGAAAACAGGTAGTTCCCTGCGCACCAAAATTATAAAATTAGGCTGCTGGCCTTTGCTTTGCAGGAGTACATGGTGAATGCTTTCTTATTTTGTATGCTGAGTCTGCTTCTTACACACTGCCTTTAATAAACTGCTTAGAGATGGGAATATTCTAACTATGACCACTGAAGCCACTGACTGCTTAATGAATATGCCTTTAACCTCTTGCATTTGACAAGTGCAAATCTCAGATGCTACATGATCTGCAGCTATTCTAACAGAATGGGTGTCTGTATGTAAATGTGCTCTAAAAGTTGGTGCACAGACTTAAGGACAGAGAAGTACAATGAGTTACTAAGAAGAGGTATCAAGTTAATGTTTTCATACACACTAGATGTGTATATATAGTTTGTATATGTTTATGCATATGCATATATTTATACTCCTTTATATAGTTTTCAAAAGAGGATTTGGGAGTTCAGGTTAAACATACAACAAGGGAAATAAATTTTCATAACAACATGTGTAGGAGTTTATTCAGTTCTCTGTCATTGTCTTTTACAAATGATGTTTTAAATATCCTTGTGGTTTTAAAACTAGTTGAAGACTCAGAAAGAAAAACTTGAAAGTAGAGAGTTGCACATAAATCTTCTGCGGCAAAAAATATCCCAGCTGGAGGAAGAAAAGCAAGTAAGGACAGTCTTAGCCGTGGAGCGGGATGAGGCCAATCTCACTGTCAGAAAGTTACATAAAGTGATCGAAAGGTTACAGCAGCAGCTTGATCTGGCAAAGGAAGCTAATATTGATCTCAAAGCCAAGCTGTCTGAAACCAATGAACTTAAGGTGAGTTAAAAGGTTACACTTGTGCTTCTACCCATTTTTCTTTTCCAGTTGAATACAACTGAAGTTCATTCTCAATTAAAGTGTTCATAGAGAATTGCTCAAATACATCTAGTTTGGGAAAACAAGTATATTATTCCATTGTTTTGGATATTTTGCAGTCCTCCCTGGTACAGTAAATGGCATATGTAAAGCGCAGGATAAATCTTCAAATTTACAAGAAAAATGTGATCCCTCCTTCTAGCCTCAGCATGGCTGTAATCTTTGGCTTTCCTATACATAGCTCATGTGGGGAGACATTATTTTCCACATAAAATATGCGAGATGCTAAATTATCTTTTTTATGTGTGTATATTACCTTGTACTAGTAATAAACTCTCCACTTTAACTCAGGTGGAAACAAGTAGTTTGCAATCATAGCTTGCAACTACTGGAAATAGGGAAGATTTTCATTTTACGTGACTCTGTGTCTTATGGCTGATTGACTGAAGTAGGTGCAAGTTCCAACAAAGCAACCTAGCACAACATTTGCCAACACTCACACTGATTTTTCCAGTGGCTAGCAGAGAATGAACTCACACTGCAGGCTTTTGTATGTTCAATTACCTCTTCTTTTCATGAAAGCCAGTAGAAAATTAGCTATCTTTGGAACACCACTGTCTGTAAATTCAGTTGAAATTGGCCAATATGCTTCAACAACTTTTCAGTTCACATTTCTGTGTGATTTCCTTAATTCACACTGCAGAAGCAGGATAGTAATAGATAGTAATGTCATTTTGTTAATATGAAAATTACAACATTAAAATGTGTGTTCTTAGCTATTTTTGTTATTTGTTCTTAGATGAAAATATATGAAGGATTTAACATTTATTATTGTAGATCAAAACTTTGGAGCAGAGCAGAACAATAGAAGAACTTAATCAGTCTCAAGGCAAACTGCAAAGAATGAAACAAAAGGCTGAGAAACAACTTACCTCTGTCAAATCAGAACTTCATTTAAAAGAGCACGAAGCTAATGAAGATAAAGAAAAGGCCAAAAATATGATGAAAGCACTTTCCAGTGAAATGAAGGTGCTTAAAACAACCCTTGCAGAAGTAGCAAAGAGAGAGAGACAGGTAGGTGTATGCTTGCTTGACAAGTGCTGGGAGTCATTCAGAATGTGCCAGTGTGGTATGCATAGAGCAGCTATCCAGCTGTGCTTAAAACTTGTGTGGGCATTCACAAATGAGGAAATACCAGCTCAGACTAAAGCAGCAATCTGAGCTAAAGCAACAAGCATGACTCTGAGAGGTAAAGTGCTTCAAGTTATACATGCAGTACAACGAAAGATAAATCTATGCCTTGTTGTGTTTGTGCACTGCAACATACTCGGTTTACATCCCATTTTGGAGAAGGTGGATAAAAAA